AAATACCAACAGCATATTTTGCAGACCTAGAACAAGTATTTCAAAAATTTATATGGAACTAAAAAAAGACCCTGAATAGCCACGGCAATCTTGAGAAAAAAGAACAAAGTAGGAGGAACCACAATACCTGATATCAAACTATACTGCAAGGCCAGTGTAATAAAAATATTCTGGTACCGGCAAAAAAACAGACACATAGATCAATGGAACAGAATAGAGAACCCAGAAATAAACCCATATTTCTATGGTGAAGTAATATTTGACAAAGAGGACAAGAACATTCAATGGAATAAAAATTGTCTCTTCAATACGCGGTATTGGCAGAACTGGACTGGTACAGGCAAAAAAAAATGAAACTAGACCACCAACTTACACTATACACCAGAATAAACTCAAAGTGGATACTTTAAAGACACATAAGTTGTGATACCATAAAAGTCCTAGAGGAAAACATAAGCAGTAAAATTTCATAAATCACATAGAAATATATTTGACAGTATATCTCCTAGGGCAAGGGAAATAAAGGAAAAAATAAACAAATGGGACTACATCAAATTAAAAAGCTCCTGTACAGCTAGCTAAATAAACCATTATCAAAATGAAAAGGGAACCAACTGTTTGGGAGAACATATTTGCCAATGATACATTGGACAAGGGTTTAATCTCCAAAATATGTAAGAATTCACACAACACCAGAAAGACAAACCAATCAAAAAATGGGCAGAGGATCTGAATAGATACCTCTTCAAGAAGGACATACATACAGCCTATAGACTTATGAAAAAATGCTTACTATCGCTAGACATCAGAAAGATGCAAATTAAAACCACAACGAGACATCACATCACACCTGTCAGAATGGCTATCCTTAATAAATCAATAAAGAAGAAGTGCTGGCAAGGATGTGGAGAAAAGGGAACCTTATTGCACTGTTGGTGGGCATGCAGGCTGGTGCAGCCACTGTGGAAAACAGTGTGGAATTTCCTCAAGAAATTAAAAATGGATCTGCCTTATGACCCAGCATTCCACTGCTAGGAATATACTCTAAGAATCCCAAAACACCAATTCAAAAGAATTTATGCACCCCGATGTTTATAGCAGCACTATTTGCAAGTGTTGGAAACAGCCTAAGTGCCCATCAGTAGATGAATGGATTAAAAAACTGTGGTTCATCTACACAGTGGAATACTACACAGCAGAAAGAAAGAAGGAATTCCTACCTTTTGCTATAGCGTGGATGGAACCAAAGACTATTATACTAAGTAAGATAAGCCAGTTGGTGAAATGCAAATACCATATGTTCTAACTTATAAGGGGAATCTAATGAACAAAATAAACTGAGCAAAACAGAACCAGACATGGAAACAGGGAACAGACTGACAGCTGCCAGAGGGTTGGGGGCGGGGATGGTGGGAAGACAGGGAAGGGAGGAGTCAGAGAACATGTATGAACAACCCATGGACATGGACAACAGGATGGGGATGGACTGTGGGAGCGGGTGATGGGGCGGGATGAAGGAGGGCAAAGGGGAAAAATTGGGACAACTGCTGTAATAGGATAAACAAGAATTTAAAAAAAAAGAAAGAAAGAAAGAAAAAGAAAGAAACTTGGCTTAAAAAGAGAGAATGACGCCCTGGCTGGGTGGCTCATTTGGTTGGATCCTGGTCCCATAAATCAAAAGTTTGCAGGTTCTATTCCCGGTTAGGGCACACACCTAGCATGTGGGTTTGATCCCCATTCTGCATGTATTGGAAGCAAATGATCAATGTTTCTCTCTCACATTGATATTTCTCTTTCACATTGATGTGTTTTTTGTTCCTCCCTCTCTTTCCCTCCATCTCTTTCTCCATAAAAAAAAACAATGAAAAAGTATCCGGTGAGGATTGAAAGAGAGGTTGACAGACAAAGGGTAAGAACTAAATCACAGAAGTTGGGTTGGGAGAGATGCACATGTTTGAAACCTGTTAGAAATGAGACGTTACCACAGAAAGAGAAGGTATCAAAACCAGTGTCAGAGGCTTAGACTTACAGAGATGGGACACTCCTCTTATATTTTAGGGAGGATGGCAAAAAGTTAAAGAAGGCTCATGAGTGAAGGCTCTGCTGAATCTTCAGTGATGATGAATCTTCAGTGGCATGCATTTGTACCATTGTTTACTCTATTAGTGCTGAATTGGTCACATACAGGAGGGAAGGCTGCGAGGTTCAGAAGGATTCCAGGAGTGACTAGGTCAGTGCCACTGTCTCTTTTAGAGAGCCTCAGCACCCTTGACTCCAGGGACGGGCCCAATCGTGGTCTCTCATCTCCCAGCCACATGGATTAGTCCATAGAGAAGACAGGTGACCTAAATCACACCAATTTGTCTCTTTTCAACCTGGAGCTAGGAGAAAGAACTGTTGGTTTTCTCTTACTGAGACACATAAAGATGTAAGTGGTATTGCTTGTTGTAGACACCTTTCTTGTGTAGTAAAGAAACAAGGGGTAGAGATGTTCAGGGTAGAAAGAGAAGAGTTAAAAGTGGGGGGTGGGTTTTTAATTCCTGCATCCCTGAGGCCAGCTTCATCCATTTCTTTTTATGATTTGGCTACTTAAACTATTAGGTGTCCCTTATCCTGAAGATGGAGTTTGGGTATTTGCATTGAAACTAAAGAAACCTTAGCTACAATACGCTATATGAATATGGAGAAGTCGGAATGGGTTTGGCCAATAAGTATAGGTACAGCAGAAGACATTAACAAGACTGGTTGAGGTGACGGAGCTTGCGGTCTACACCACACAGGAAAGGAAGTGATTCCCTTGACAAAGAGGTATCCAGGGAGTTCAATTCTTAACTAAGTAGATAAAAGGATAGGAAGTTGTGATGAGAGTATAAGAATGTTGGATGTATTTGCAAAACAAATTTTTATTTCTTGAGAAAAATAATGAATCACTATATATTTCTAAAATGATTCATAAAAATCTATTTGTAATTTGTGATTGAAAACATTAGGGATAATATCTACCTTTTATATTTGTCCTGTTATCTACACAGAAGACTTGACTTACAATATGGCAGGTTTGTTGACTTTTACAAGATACTTCATAATCAATTTTTATTGTACCATATGCAGCTGATTGAGTAACAAGAATTTTCTAATTTAGAACTCTATCGCTTTAAGCAAAATATTCTCAGGAGTAAAAAAAACTTGTCCTAAGACAGAATTGAGTCTGTTAGAAAAATATTAGAACTTAGCTATCATTTTCAACTTCCTTTATGAACAGATTTTTTTTTAATCTTTACCACATTGTTAAATTACTCTGGGTAGTATTGAGTATGATAGTTTATAAAGAGCCTTTAATGAGGCTCTCTCTCTTTTCAATTGTAGTGTCTCAGCCCATTATTACTTGTGGATTCAAAATAGCTCAGACAAGTCCTGGAATCCATTCAAAAGGATTGATTCAGCTGGAATCTCTTGAGTCCTGAGTTAGATGTCTACTCTCCATGCACTTCTCTAAGTGCAGCCCCAGGAGATAGCTGTATAATAGGTTGTTATAGTCCTTCAGGGAATTTGAGCCCTTCAGAAAGAGTATACAATTTACAGCATGGTCTTTTGTGCCTTGATTTACCCCTTGTTTTAATCTGCTGTTTTATCATTTTGTATTTGAGGACACGTTTTACCATGTTCTGATAATGATGAAATGCATCCCAATTTTTATGAGCTTCCATAACTATCCAGTAGTTAAATTGACTATTGTAGCCACACTGAAGAGTTCCCAGAGTCTGTCAAGATGCTGGCTAAGTATACATGTATTGAATCTTAAATAATATGTAATATGTAACCTACCTGTATTTGAACTAAACTTGGAAGTGCTTTTGCTGAAAAGGGGATTCACTACTGGTATGCAATCTTCTATTTACACACATGTAGACTGTCTCCTACACTTGGACAAGACAGAAAGAAAGGCAGAGATATGGATACAAGACATTTCTCCCTCTGCTTTGCTACTCTGGAAACTGTCTGAACCTGCCATTTCCTCTTTTGAAAGATCAGGGGTTGGATGGCATGTAACCCCCTCCCCCAACATTTTCCCATCTCAAAGTAAATGAAGTCTTTGCTGAGTCTAATAGGCCCAAGTCCTTCTCTGAAGACAAATGTTTCAACTTCATTATTATGTTATTATGTCCCCAAGCTATCCTTTTCTTCAGTATAATTTGCTGTGGTGATTTCATATCTTATAGATGCATTTGTGTTTTCTTTAAAACATTTTATTAAAATTAAGAAAGTCAAGATGTAGAGTAGCATTTTCTTAGATCGCTGTCATAGTAGAAAAAGTTCATTACAAGCAGCTTCTGTGTAATGCCAGAGCTGGGAGACCCAGGGAGACAGTCTTAGGCCGCCTCTGTTGTTATTGTGACCAAAGCTCCATAGAAGCTTCTTGCTGCTCCCTCACCAGCCTGCACACACCAGTGCCGCACCAACTGCAAAGGAGAATCATAAAGGTAGGCCAATGAAAGCTGCTTCAGTCATTGGTATAGAAACTCTGAAATTATTCTGAGATTCCTTTTTTTTAATAATCTGTCTCTAGTCCTCCTGCATTATCTTATTAAGTTGTTGTGAAAATAGTTATATTTATTCCATTAATGAAAAAGGTGTGAGTACACCAATATCTAAACTAGTGAAACTACAAGACCATAAGAAAAGTAGAGTACATAGTCTAATTTTAATCATATCCTAAATAAGATATAAGTATTATACTAAGGTTTAACTGTGGTAAAATGTAGTATTTTACTTATAAAAGACTTTTTTTTTACATTGTGAAAAATCTGTTTTGCAAAATACTCCTTGTCCTGTGCTCACTGGCCTCACGCTTGTATTCCTCACCTCCGCAGAGGAAGACCAGCCCGAGGCTGGGGAGTTGCCTGCTGAATCCCTCAAGCTTTTGGCTTTGGTCATTGTCTGAATTCAAAATGTAGAACAGAATGAAGAGAATAATTCCATCTTGTTTTCTCTCTTTTCAGGCTCTATACAACTCAATCAAGAATGAGAAGCTTGAATGGGCCGCGTAAGTATGCTGAAGTCAGCCTCTCAATACATAAATGATCTACTTGCCCTTTCTTATTGTCTTCCCAGATGCCTGAGAGGTTATCCTAGAGGAGGATTAAATGTGCATGGACAGTTCTCATTTCACACTAGTATCTTACCTACTTTGTGTGAAACCTTAAGTGTCCCATGTCTTTTTCTTGGTACACAGCATGCTCCTTTTCTGCTTTTAATCTGGTTGTTATGCCTCTAGGCAATTAATTTTCTTTTTAGTGTATCCTTTTAAAAATAGCAGTTTAGAAGAAAATCTGGTAAAAGTACATACATTCCAAAGTCCAATACAAATGATTCTGGTACTATCCACTTACTTTAATTCTCTCTGTCCCATCACCATAGATCATGGTTTCTAATCCTATTTTCCTATGATAGTAAATATACAGGGATATTGATAGATAAGCTTGAGAAATGATAAAATAAGCTAAAAAAATTTAACTCTCCAACTTCTAGAGGCATGTGCAATGCCAATATAAGTTGTTGATCTCCAAGAGAGGAATACATTGAAATGTTTTCTGAACCTATTTGACAATAAAACATAGTGTTTCATGGTACACACTTTTAGAAATACTATTCCAGATTAATTACACATAACTCTATGTAGACCAATGATACCACTCTTGTTAAATTTTCTCTGATCAATGTAGAAGTTAAGGATTTAATCTTTAAAAAATTATTAAGAAAGAATCTTCACTAAATTTTTAATGAAGTCAGAAGTTAGGTCTAATAAGTTTTAAAATTAGAACTATATGTGAATTTTGTTTTTGATTTTTACTCATATTAAGTATTCATAAATGCTTGTCTATTGTGTGGCCTAATGTAGCAATCTGGTTTACAGAATCATAATGGGGGGAGTCCTATTCTTTCATATGCGCATTGGGGGTGATTTAGCAATTGACTACATCTCACATGTAATAGGCTAGAAAGAATAGAAAATATCAATACCACTTGAATTGTTTCCACTAATTGTAAGTCCTATGGTCCTATTTTAAATTATGGATTCAAAAATTACGTTGAGACTTTAATATTTACAAGTGATGTGATGGCTTAGGTGTCTGTATGTATAGATAACATGAGATTCACTTAAAGACGATGTATCATTTCAAGCAAAACATTAAAATTAATAGAATTCATGATCTGAGATCCGAAGTTATCAGTTTTGGACTTTTCTCTCTTTAATGAAAGTGGGTTTCCTAGAAACATTTTATAATGTTGAATAATATACTTAGAAACTTGCTTAAATAGTAAAAACATATCCTGACCTATACAGAATTTATTCTAGAGAAAATTAATAAAAATGAAATAATGATAAACATTCACACTGTTGAATTTGTTACAGTAGTCTTTATTTATATTTCTGTATAGTGGCAATTTGGTGCAAGAAAGCTTGATGTTGGGCCCTAGCCACACATGGGGAAGTGGGAGTTTACCCAAGAGCTGGAATCTTCTTGTCATCATCTTGTCAAGTCAACAGAGCATCGTGTTCCAGAGCCCAGATCCCAAAGTCAGATAGATTGGGGTTTGAATTCCAGCACAACTACAAAGATGATGCTACAAAATTTGGAGGACAATGTATACTTGCAGGGGAGATGTCTTGATGTTGATTTAGAACCTTAGAAGAAATCAAATTAGAAAATCATGGAGTGTTGTAACTGGAGGGACCTCAGAGGTTTTTAGTTCATTGGTTTTCTAACAGGTGTCCATGGAGCCCTAGGCAGTCGAGGGCTGGGGCATCCATGTGCACAAGGGGAAGCGGAAGGTCACTGGGACTCACTCATTTCTGCCGCCCACAAGCATCCACCTTTAACTGACCAAAGCAGCTCCACTGCTGTCTTTTTAAAATACGTATTTGGAGTCCTACTTAATATTTCTCTTTTTAAAGGTATCTGTACCTAAAAAAATTTTTTTGAAAAGTACTACTTCAGTTCAGTGTTCTCATTTCCTATATGAAGAAAATGAACTCAAGAAGTGTGCATTAACAGGTCAAAAGCTACAGTGAGTGCAGTGGCAAAGTCGGGGCGTGTTCCCCGGGAGCCCGTGGCAGCACACGTGGCCGCGCTCCTCTGTAGCCACATCCTCACAAAGTCTGCTGGGCAGCCATCATGTCGGAAAGTCTCTATGCCAGCTTTTGATGAGAATTAAGAGAGTTTTATATTAAATTTTTAGTCTCATTAAATGCTCCTAGAATTACTAGTATTCTCTCCCCAGGCAAGTTAGGTAACTAAGACCTGTCATTCAACTATTCCACAGCCTTTAAATAAGCAGCTGCTTCTGTGCCTAGCCCAGTGCAGTGCCCTAGATACAAGGATGAAGAAGACAGGCTCTCTGCCCAAGCAGGACACAGTGTGAGGGTGGGTGGGAAGGAAAACATAAAACATAACAATTGTAGTGAAGAGTGCAATTAGCTAAACCGCATTGCGGACCTTTCTCAGCTCCCTCTTGCAGGACAATTACCATTTCCTCCTCAGACCTTTGCTGAGTTATTCATTATTCATAAAGCATCTATCTGTTGAGGTACTTTGGCTGGAAATTTGGAGAGAACAAAAGTATGTAAGGCATTGAGGCAGGTTCCCTGGCCTTAATAAATTCTACAGTTTAATACAAATGATGAAATAAAAGGTAAGGAGTGGTTTCTCTCTGACTGGGCTAGGACAAGGTGAGGTGAGTGGCAGTAAATATAGGAGCTTAACATAAAGCTTAAAACTTACGTTAAACAATCTAGTTTAAAATAGAGCTACATGAGGATCTTCAAAGACTATAACAACAGAAAAGGGAAAATAAGTGCAGTATTGTGAGGAAAATTAATGGTCTTATTTATTACTGTTATTGAACAACACTATTTAGGAATTGCAATAAATCTTTCTTTCCTTGGTTTTTAAAAATATTAAAAATGTATGTGCCCAGCCTCACTCCGATTGAGAACAATAAAACCAGCTCTAAGTCAGGTACGTCCCGGCTCCCCCCTCACTCTGCCGCTTCCCTCTAGGGCCGGGTCACAGCAGCATTTGCTTTGCTTCTCCTGATACACAGTTGTTCTCTTTAACTCTGAATAAGCATTTTTACAACACTGCATCATGGAATAATCTTTGCTATTTTATATTACCCTATAACTCATTTTACAAGAGCAGTTTAAAATCTTTATCACCTTTACTCCTAAATTAAATTATTTTCTGTTTGCCCTCCCATATCAAACTGTCCTGGTTTGTTAGGTGAGGAGGTGGAGCTTTGGGATCTTTGTCTTTCAGATCATGTGTTATGAAAGCCCAGAGCTTTGAAAAGTGTGGTTTTAAATGACAGCAGTTCATTGTTTATTTTCTTTTATCTTTTTTTCTGTTGCAGACTTTCCTTATGGCTGGTCTTTTCAGGAAAACAATGCTGTCCATTTATTGGCTGATTTTTGGGGAGTAGAGAAAGCTCTCCAAACATTTCCTCCCTCTTCTTTATCATTACTTTATGCATTGCTGCCTGAGGGTGTGAGAGTGTGTGCCTGTGTGTATTTGTAGTCTGTGTATTATTGGAGAATGATAATTAAAGGCAATGGAATTACTAGTAGTTGTTATTTCACATGGCACTTTAATTCTTTATCAGATCCAACAGTTTGGATCTGAAAATGACAACTGCTTCCAGAATCCCTTTGCTACACAGTCTCTGAAAAAAAAAACTTTTTCCAAAAAAAAGGAACCCTTGACAACTTATACTTTAGTTACTTAGTCCTTTTTCATATTTTATATAACTCAGAGTTGACTCTAATTTTATTTTAGGTAATAGTACATATCAATTGAAATGCAGTCACAATTGTTGCTCTATAGAGAATGGCCATCTCAATAGATAGTTTCAGTTCCAGGCAAGTTTTTCTTTCAACTTGGGCTGATTTAGATGAGCCACCTTTAGCTTATGAATGTAATTTATTGCTTTGCCTTTAAGTTTTCTTCATCATATTCTCTTTGCTATAATTCTCCTTCGTTTTTTATTTGCCAACATCAGAGCCCTCCAGGAAGGAAAATTGGTATTTTCTATCTATACTTTATATTTGAACTTGTACCCTAAAGAAAACAGTGCTGCTTTGTCTTATTTTAAAATATCTTTTTACCTTGAGCTAAAAGTACTTTATTTCCATGAAAGAAGATAAATCATGGTAATTCATTTTAAAATGAGCTATTCTGTTAAATAATTTTATTATCCTAATGCCCTGGTGAATCTAGATATATAAAATTCTTAATCAGGAATGAATTATTTTTAATTCTCATTTTAAACTTACAGATAGCCACCTGTAGGTTGATAATTACTACTAAAAAACTATGACAAAAAGAAATTGCTAATAAGTTCAGCAATGATTGTAGGTATAGCAAATACAATAAATATATAAAGAAAAACCTTAGTGTGTGGGCAAAGAGGTAGGAGGACTGGAGTTAAGAGTTATTAGTTAAAAAAAAAGAACTAGCCATGAAAAAAATTAATAAAACTGTGAAATATTTGACTATAAACAATTAATAAAATTTCATCTTTATTTGAGATGCTCATCTTATTAAAATGTTTTCTAGGTATGCATTGTGCCTCATTGAAATACTTAAAAAATAGAATAATATTTAACAATCCCACCGTCGTTGCTATACTTGTAGAGTAGATCTTGGTAAAATAATTCTAGTGTTAATATTAGATGGAATGCACAAATTTAGAGGACAAATTTAGGAGACAATCTATATGAATATTAAGTAAGGGTAGATCTCGATATAAGTGTAGTGTATGTGTAAAGAATATTATTGGTTTGATCTGGTTTAAATTCAGTGAAATGCATTGACTATTAGATAAGGAAAGAAAAACAGAAATTCCCTAATTATGAAAAAATGATCATTAACTTGAAGGAGATTTTGAGCTAAAGAATTGATATCACTTAAAAATTTGTTAGCTAAAAATGATATTGAACATGGGTCCATCTCCTGGATTTGGGTTCTAAAGGAAGAAAGATTT